ATTAATAATAGAGGACGAAAAACGAACAAATGGAAAAACTGTATATAATCAAATGCATGCCGAGTAAACTTGTCGTAGTTCATCGGTATATATGTTCTTTTAGCATTCATATACTTCATCCAATTCTTTCCCAACTGAAGCTCCTATCCACCACCTGCGAGGGTCTACAATAGGTTTTTCGGTATCCGAGCTTTGACTAATTGCAAACACGGGGTTCGGAAATTTTATGCCTTGTTAACTAAGGATTATAACATAATCAAGTAAAGCGCGCGCTCGGGTTGGTCAATTCAGCGTCCACCATTTGTAGGCTGCTGACGTGAGCAAATGTAGAGACTAGTTTTCTGCGCGCGCTTGTTTCTTCTGGTCACGTAAGATTTGTTAAATAAAAGAAAACTCTTGGTACAATGTATATATGTTATTCACCAGACGGGAGGACCGTATTGGGAAAAACTGTGCCCGAGATCTTNTCGCATTACTCAACATTTCCTTTTTCGAATTAGCCTCAAGCATGATAAGTCCGCTTTCGTTGCCTACCTGTTCTGTAACCAGATTTGGAGAAAGGGACGTCTTATCTATCAAGTTCGTCTCGGCCACATTTGGTCCATCATTGATGTCCGGCAGAACTTCAGTATTAGCGAGCAGATCCAGGTTACGCGCCTTCTTCTGCTGTCGCTTTCGCTTTCTCCACTCTCTATTTTGTTTTCGTTTCTCCTCGGGAGTATTTTTTCACGATTTTACTTCCCGTTTATTTGTTATTTCCAGCTTATTGGAGGCTCCAAGGTCCGCCCACATTTTATGAATGAATTCCCAAAAAAGAAGAGTGAAATAGTTGAACACATGCTCTTCCATCCGATCTCACAATTTACGAAAACTTCATTGTTCTCCTGAAACACGAGAGCCGTCTTATTGAAACTTGATGACAAGTATAACCGGCAAAGAAAACACTGCAAAAGCGATTATCTGTCACATCGATGTCAGGATTATGACACCTTACAGGAAGGCTGCCTGAAGTGCCCAGGTCATCTGTGTGAGTCAGAAGTATCCAGTTACTATGCAAATGAGCTTTGTGCGAGATTGAAGCTCGCATTAGCTCATTTGCATAAAAGGATTAAGAGGTTCAAAGCTCGTCATGTTACCTGTTAGCTGGATATTTCTATGGAAATTATAGTTTCATGTTGGTCACCTCTAGGAGTTAATTAGAGTTGAGAAAATGCAATGAAAAAGGTTTGTAGAATTTTCAGTTTTACCTCAGATGGTTTCTGATAACAAGAGAAAGGTGTTTCAACTGACTTGATTCTTTGAAATAGTATTTTCTCAGAAAATAGTACTTAGTAAAAGAAAAGAAATAGCAAGGAAATAACCTTGTCACAAAAAAACAATGAACCAACCCTATTTATTATTTTTTGTGCTATGTACCATGATTGTCCACGATTGCTTTGTGAACTTTATATACATGTGACCTGAGAACATGGTTGTATGCTCTAAATGCACCTTCACATGTTAGTTGGCCAAAAATAAACACCACTGCATAAGTGCCCATACTTGTTTTTTACAGATGCTCAGAAGTCCTGTAATGTGTATGAAAATGATGCATTAAATTTCACCAAACAAAACTATTTAAATCTAATTCCAAAATAACCATGAATGCTGTTGCAATTTTTTTCTACCAGAGTGAACTTAAAGGTGACACTGAAAAGAATGGAGATTTTCTCTTGGAAAGTTGCAAATCTTGTTTCCTTGTTCACTGTAGCTTAGAGAGGTCAAATTTCATCCTCATCATCATAAATGAAGGGAGCATCCATGAAAAGATTCTTCTAGTGTCTTGATAGCCTCTTTGCCAGTTCGGTTTCATCAAGAGTAGTCATTAGGGTTCAGAACTTATCTCCTCAAAATGACTGACATGCTTTTGATTTGGTATTGTTTACTTCCACCAGCATGGTGGCAATGACGTAACGTGCC